CTGATGCCAGGGGCTTAAGTGGAGAGCAAATGTTTTGAGAATGATGAGGGCAATGAATGTACAAATGTGCTTTACACAATTGATGTGTACATGGATTGTGATAAGAGTTGTATGAGCCCCCAATAAAATGATTTTTTTTTAAAAAAGTAAAGCTTTTTTAGAACTAAGGAGCATTTGACCCGAGCCATGGAATTGTCAATGACCTCATATATAAAGAATGCAAAGACGAGTTGACACTTTTGAATTACTGTCTTGGCAAAGAATATTGAGAATACCATAACTACTAGAAAAGTGTACCAATCTATATGGGAGGAAGAACAGCTCCTAAACAGCAAGGCTAATGAGACTTCATCTCATGTATTTTGCTTATGTTATCAGGAGAGTTCAGTGCCTGAAAAAGGACCTCATGCTTGGTTTGGTAATGTAGAGTATTGGCACAAAGAGGAAGTCCCACAAGGAGATGAGTTGGTGCAGTGATTGCCACAATGGGCTCAAAGACAGGAAAGATTGTGAGGCTGGTGCAGGATCAAACAGTGATCCTTCTGTTGTTCACAGGGTTGACTGATTCGACAACACCAAGTTCTAACAGTGCCATGGAACTTTCTTTCTAGCCTTCCTGTGTTTCCTCAAAACTGTTACACTGAAATGCTTGAAAAGCTAGTTTTCATTCTCAAGATGATATTTTCACGAGTGGTCCTGGTACTTCTGAGTTAAAAAGTCATGAAGCACACAGTGCTTGACTGTGACATTTTCAGTAATGCTACATTGATGGAGCCTGGGGTGAGGCATATCAGCCTAGTGCCTTCATTACACACTTGACTATTAACATTCCATTTAGTGGTTTTAGCATCAATTAATTACTGTTGCCTTGATTTGTTTTTCATTAGCAATGGCAAATTGAAGACTTAAAAAGTCTCTCTCATTCTGCATTTGTAAACTGGACATCTAAAATGAAGTTTTCCTTATCATGGTTTGTTTGGCTACTTTGAAAGAATTCAAAATGTGGGAGAATGTTTTAAGTTTTTCTTTTCTACAAAAATAAATATCTAAAGTACTACGTTAAGATGCTGGTAAGTTCTGTGGGAATGAAAAAGGAATTGGTATTATCAACATCTGGAATTTTCTGTATTTGATGGGCTTCAATTGATTGTGTTCAATATTCTTTTTGAGGTTCAAATTAGGCTAATGAGAATCCCTGGGACTTTTAGAATTTTATCCTCAGTCAAGTTTGACATGTTCATCCACTTTTGCTGTTCCTTGGTGAGTTAGTTAATTGTGCCAGCCTGGCCGATAATCACATGTGGTGCTTGTTGAAAGGCGGAGGGATAAATGGGTGGTGAAGCCTCGCCTTTCTA